TTGAGCTCCAGTTTGATGTGGCTCCTCCGATAGACCTCCAGTTTGATGTAGCTCCTCACAAAGGTCTCCAGTTTGATGTGGCTCCTCAAGAAGATCTCCACCAGGACGTAGAGCTCCACCATGTCGTAGTCGGCCTTCCATCACTACATCCACTCGTTCTATTTCACGTCTCCTCTGCTCAGCTGTGGTTGGGGCATTCGGGTCCGTCAGTTGGAGCTCTTTGAGCCCCTGCGCTTGTCTCGAGCCTCCTTCTCCTCTGTCTCGCCCAATGCCAAGGGATACACCTTCGGGTTGAAGCACAACTGACGGGCGCTGCCGAGATGTCCCCATAGTCCCGCAAGGAACCTGCCGTTCATGTGCATGATCCACCTGGGATTCCTCTTCCAGCGTCTCTTGGTTGTCTTGTCGGACTCCACCGCCTGTTTCATCCTCAACATCAGCAGCAAAAGCTTCCATTTGAACGTCAGGGTCTGTTCCGTGATGCTGCCGAGGATGTTGAAGGTGACGTCGTAACTGTACCGTTGCGACAGGGTCGGAAAGTCTGCTTCTCGTCCTGTGAGGGCCGCCTTCTTGTTCTCCTTCTTCTCTTTGGGGGCCCCCAGATGCCGCCGCCTTGCTCTGGCTCTTCGCTTTGGCTTTGGCTGCTGTGGCCATCTCCTGCATCTCCATCATCATCGTGGCCATCTGAGCCATCTGTGCCTGCATCTCCAACATTTCCTTGGGCATCTGCGGTGACTTGCTCTGAGATCGGGCTCTGGTGTCTGACAGCGTTCTCGAAGCTCGGCGTCTCACCGACCTCGATGTCCTCTGTCCCGGCTCCTGCAGCTCGTCCGACGAGATCGCATGAGCCTCGTCCTCCAGCATCCCGATGTTCTCCCATGGGCTGGTGTCGACCATCCGCCACCGAGTGCACCGTAAGAACGGTAGGGCGCGTAGGTGGTGATCCTTTCACCGTTGATCCACTGGAAGTCAGCGGAAACACTTCATAGTGTGGCTGCAGAACGAACTCACTAGGAACAGGCTGCATGTCAGACAACTGATCAATGGGAATGACATAGTGACCTCCTGCAGATTGACTTAGTCCAAACCTTTTGATGCCATACTTCTTAGATGTCACTGCATGCGATGACGTGTCGACCATGAGACCCAAGGTTGTGCAGACAGGTTTTGACAACAATGGTGGACAGTTCCCTGCAACGACTGAAATCCACAAAAGACATGGGATGCCGGCTAAATTCACATGGATGATCACTGCAAACTTGCTTTGGTTGATGTGCCCATCCCCAAAACGAAACGATTCCTTCTCTGGGACAACCTTGCAATACCAACCATTTCTCTTCCATTTCAAAACCAGGGGTTTGACCCATGTCGTCCCTGCCACCGTCTTCATGCACCCCAAATCCAAAATCATCTTGTCCCCCAACTCCGTCAAAGACCAATAAACATCATGAGTAGTGATAGATGTAGAAGACGAGGTAGTCATGAAGGTGTTCTGAGGTCTCCCCGCCCTCTGTGGCGCACTCTTGTACATCGCCTCGGACTGGGCGCACTGTCGAAGGAAATCCCAGTCGGCATCAGCTTGTCTGTTGCCTGCTGGAAAGGTGACGTTGGTCGCATGCACCGGTGCCTTGTTTCTGTACGGGCACTCTTGCGACCAATGTCCCAATTGCCTACAGATGAAGCAAGGCTCCGTCTTCTGTTGTTGTTTCACCCAACGCTTCACCTGTTCTCGGTCTTTGTCTCCTTGTGGGCCTCCTGGTGCATTGCCTTCCTTCTGGAAGTACTGTCTCATCTTCTTGATCTCCCTCACTCTATTTCTGGCTTTGTACTCTTGTGCAAAGATCTCGGCCATAAAAGCGTCCGATGTCGAAGCTGAAGAGGAGATGGTAGATGGTGTAGTTCCTGTCGACGAAGCTTCCATCACAGAGGTCGCCGACATTGGTGGTCCGCTGAACGAAGTCATGTCATCCTCCTCCTCGTCAACAGATTCATCTCCAACACCATCTGCTGTGATTTGTTCATCATCCAAGCCATCCTCATCAGCTCCGTCCTCATCTTCAAGGATCGCCATCAACGCGTCTCGGAAGCGACGCCTCCCGAAGAACTTTCTGCGGTTCTTCCTCACTCCGGGTGTTGCCGTAGAGCTCTGCAAGGGTGAGGTCATACTTGATGATGTAGTCGCCTTCTGCACCAGGTACTTGTCCTCCTGGTCCAAGGTCGGTTCGCCACGGCCAATCGGACATCCCGGTTGGCCTTCCAACTGCTCCGCCAAGTCCATCAGCGATGTGGTCACAAGGTCCTCATCCTCTAAGGTGCCTTGACTTGCAGCCTTCACCAATGCCAAGTCCCTCTTGGTCAAGCGGGCTGCATCCAAAAGGTGTCCAATGTAGAACTTCGATCCCACCTGATAGGCGGGTGAAGACTGGTTTTCACGCCTGTAAATCTCGGCGCGATTCAAAAAACTTTCAATTGATTCTCCATGCAAGCGGGTCAGCTTCATGAACTTCTGTCTCCTTTGGTCTACCTTCTTCTGGTCCAGAAGCTTGATGATGGGGCTTCTCTCCATTTCCTGCTTGATCCTCTGAATTCCATCGGCTCCGGAAACCTCCTCCACCGTCAAGTGCTGCACGATCTTCCCTGCTCTCTCACGCAACTGCTGCATCCAGTCGGGGTCCTTGCATCTCCTGGGGCAAGGATTTGCCTTCTGAGGCCACCCAAAAGGTGACACTTCTCCAGTACTGCTCCCAGCTCTCTCCTGGTCTCGCATAGAAGATCGGAGGGCACGATGAGCTCAACTTCCCTGTCGTACCCGTTGCTTGTTGACTCTGGTTTCCGGCCACTGAAGGAACACCACTAGGCACGTCTCCCATGGGCCTGTTCTCTGTATCCTTCGCCCTGGGTGCCTGTGGTGACACCGGTGACAGGGCTCCATCATTCCCGCCAAAAAGTCCATGATCGTCTCGTTGAAGCTCTCCACAATGTCGATCTTGTCCATGCTCATCTCGGGATAGCGCTCGTCCATCAGATAGTGTCGACCAATTCTCGGCACCTGCGGTGTCTCCCTCATACTTCCAAGTCCAGTCAGATCGCCAACCGGTGTCTGACCACCCGTCTCCACGCTCTGATGACGTAGTATCCCAGTTTTGCCATCGATCCCAACTTCGACTGCTCCACTGAGACGATCGCCAACTCCCCTGCGACCCACGATCTGAGCTTCGAGAGGATTGCCATTCTCCTGAAGCATCTGACCAATTCTCAGCTGCATTCACCTGCCAGTTCTCATTCCTCCAAGGGTCGTTGGTCAGCCATGGGTCGTCCATTGGGCTCTCACTTTCACTTCCTCCGGGAACTGTATCACGATGCCCTTCTCCAGCACGTTCGCCATGTTCATCACGTAGAACCTGCTGCATCGGGCTGCCAGGCACCAGTTCCGAACTCCAAGAAGCCAGAACCCCACTAAGAGATCCATCTCCTATCGCAGACTCATCAGAGTCATTGAACCTCAAAGTTCTGGTTCTTCGTGCTCTTCTCCGCCTGGCCTCCTCAAACTCAGGCATCGGCATCTCTTCCACGGCAATCTCAGGCTGTTGCCGTTGTTCAGCTCCCGGTCGGGTGTCCGGGGTCCATGCTTCGCTCCCGTCCAAGGAGCCTCGCGAACCAATCGGCGCCGAGGCGAGGGCCGCCATGGTTTAGGCACAAGCCAAGGGTAAGACACCCTGAAAACTAAGGCCACGGACGTGGCTCCGCTACCACTGAAAGTACAGGACCGCACACAAACTTTTACCCTAGCCTCGGGCCGTGACCGGCTCCCAGTCAGGCATAACTCACAGTATCATATTTGAGGATGATACAGGTGCTCTGCTTCCCATGATTTGGTTCATATCTGCATGACCTTCCATACAATACCTCTCCCTTTGTGGAATTGCTGGCGCCTTGGCACCTCTGTTCCTCTCAGCTGTGGCAGGGCACCTGGCAAGGACATGGCATGGGAGGTAGCATCAATCTGAAAATTTGCAAACAAGACTCCTAAACTGCAATGAAGTCGAATTACTGTAATTAGAAGATCTCCGAAGTGCAACGAGACGAGGGCCAACAGCTCTCAAGAAGCGCCTTTTCTGATTTGCGTTGTGCGCATTCGGGACATTTGTCAACCAGGGGGCATCACCGCTAGAGCAAACCAGCAGTGCGGAGCCCTGTCTCACCTTCCATCGGGACCTCCAGGACTCATTGGCCACCCATGACAGCTTTGCGTCCACATGATGCCCAACAGAACGGCTAAGAAAATGTGCTTCAAAACTCTAGATGATGCTACGGCAAGAGTCCACCCTTTAAGGACGTTAAGAAACGAAGAGCCGTTCCATGTGCAGGTTGATCTTTTTAGAGATGGAGAGTCAACATCAACATTACAAAATCCAACCACGTAATTTCTTTTTGAATGTCTACATTAAGACTTTGCACGGAGCTTGAACCAGACTTCACAGGCGACTCCAAGTTGCTGAGAAACCTTTTTGCCATCCTCATAGATCTGTGCAGCATCTGTGTCACAACTAGGTAGTACCCTCTGGTAAACTAACATAACTATGGAAATCACCATTTTTAATGGGTAAATCCACTATTTCTATGGCCATTTTCAATAGCTATGTTAGTTTACCAGAGGGTACTGTATGGAAAGAGTTGGAAAGAGTCGTTCAAAACATGTCAAAACCTTTCAAGACCCTGTCTTTTGGGACTATCCCACTCTAAGAACTTTACTCGCATAATAAAGGCCACATGACAACATCTCGCACGGCTTGTTTACTTGCAAACGGGCCATGTATAGCTCCAGAGGATGCCATTTTGCTGCATCCATTAGTGAGACATCAGCCGTCTACTGCAAGCAGTATGACGTTCAACAACCCCAAGAAAGACGCCATTCCAAAGAACAAAGATACACACTTCAGGGTTGGGCACCACCTTAGATGTTTCGGATTCGCTTGCAAAGATGTGTATACATCGTTGGTGTTATGTTTGCTGTCACAGTGGTGTCTGCAAAGGAGGTTGCCCAACCCGCCAAAACTGCGCATGCCATACCACTTGTTGAAAACTACAGCACGTGATGGCTATCCCTGCATCCCACCATCACTCTTCATGGATTTTCCTGCCCGGATCACCTGCAGATCAGGGAAGATTGTTTCATCGGCAGTATGAATGAGGCTTCTCAAGCCACCGATTCATCATCCCAAGAACAGTCAAGGGCTTTGGAATCTCCTCAATTCACCTTATTACAGATTATTACAAAGATATATATATATATACTAACATATACATATATATATACTAACATATATATATATACTAACATATATATATATACTAACATTTCTTGGGATACTTTTCCAGTTTGCAAATGTTCTGCTGCCGCGTGATGGCCGGCACCGGAAGGCCATCCTTTCGGCTGTGCCTCGTCGACCAGCAGCAGCTGCTCGGCCAGTACTGGAGCCTGAGCTGTGCAAACATAACTGGGAAATCCCCTACCAGTGGGCATCTATAGAATCTATAAATATAATATATATATACATACATACATATATACAATACATATATATATATATACGGGGAAAATCATGGAACTACCTGGTGGATTTTCCAGCCATGTTTGATTACCAGATTGCCATGGAATGTGGAATTTGTATCTTGCAGTCTGAGTCGTTTTTGCTGCGGATGTCCCAGTATACCCGGCACCTTTGTCCCCTCCTTTGAATTGAGTTTCCTGCCAAACCAAGCATCTGCTTCTTCACCAAGAAGTTGTCGTAGATACCTGGACTCCAGGAAGCAGTTGAGGACCCAAGACCCTCTGGCATCCCCTGCTGATAACACCATCGACCACCGGAATCACTACACTCAAGGAGTGTCCAATCTCCGAATTCCTCAACTGCGTTACCAGAACCATACATTGAGCCTCTCCCTTCCCTTCTATGTGGACATTGGTCCATAAGACAAAAGAGCGAGACGACTTCAACACCCAAAGTCCTTTTTTGAAGATAGATAGATAGATAGATAGATAGATAGATGGATGGATGGATGGATGGATGGATAGATAGATAGATAGGTAGGTAGGTAGGTAGGTAGGTAGATAGATTAGATAGGTATGTATATATATATATACATACATGCATGGATGTATGTATGTATGTATGTATGTATGTGTGTATGTGTGTATGTGTGTATGTGTGTATGTGTCTATATATATACATACATACATACATACATACATACATACATACATACATGGCTGAAGTGTCGATTATATAAATTGATTCCCATTTTCACTGGTGCGTTTTTGGGATCCTGGAATGATGCAAGTGCCGGGTTCAAGTGCCCAATCTGCCTTCGATTGCTGGGTCAATGGGGTCTCCACTCGAGATACTGACGCCGACCTCAAGTTTTGGAAACGTCTTTAACGGAAGGTGCAAAGTACTCATCATTTCGTTTCCAAGTTAAAGTTGGACCGCTATACTCAATCTAGAATAAAATTTTGTCATCATAGTACCCAGTAATGATAGAAAGAGGGAACAAAAGAAAGAAGAAGTCGGGGACATGTGCATTTCCTTGTTGGGTTTCGAACCACCTTCTGCTTGTTCTCGCGGTCGGCAAGAACTCTAAGCAGCTTCTCCTGCAAAAATTGTAGTGGTCCGTGGTGCTGTTTCACCATGCCGCTGCATGCAGAGTTAATCAAAAGATTCTGCCAAAGCCGCCACAACCTATAGTAGTAAGTTTTGCAAGCTTCTTTCTCAGCTCAGGCGTTACGTTTGTATATCCTGTACAGACACGGTCCCCACACTGTTTTTTTGCTGCTTCCCTCTCATATTCAGGTCCTGCACATCCATGCCTGAATTTTCCAGGAGGGTCTTTGGCACCACTAGCAGCGCCTTTCCAAAGATCTCCACTCCCAAACGAGGCTTGCCCTCCACTGATCGCTTGAACTGTTCCAGGTGCACGTGCGCAGCAACCTCGGCAGCCCTTTCCATCAAATGGGGGGGAATTGGCAGACAAGGGTAGCTTCAAAGTTAGACTAGACAAGTTACCATCTGGTTATTTAACATAGCCATGGAAAATCACCATGCTATTAATAGGTAAACCATCTATAAATGGGCCATTTTCCATAGCTATGTTAAATAACCAGAGGGTAGTTCCTCCATTGGAAGGTCATAAAACACAGGTGTCCAAGGCTTTGCTGCTGCACTGTGCTCTGGTCCCATGTCGAAAAATCCCCACCTCGAAGGCACCAGCCCCAGGTACGATGGCCTCACGTGCAACGAAATCAGTGCACTCAAAGCAGAAATTGCAGGGCAGTCATTGAGAAAGCCTGTGACATCAGACATTATCCAACTATGTTTATGGTGACGGCGCCTCTCAGGCGACCGCACTGTTGTAAATTTTACCATGTGATCTTGAGTTGGTCTTAATGTTTTCATGTTGATTTGACGTGAATGTCTGGTTCTTGGGGATGTTCGTCCTGTTTCAATCGCTGCGTCAGAGCATGGGGTGGGGTGGGGTGGGGGGGGGATGGGGTGGGCTTATAACGTTCATGTCGGCTGCCGGAAGGATGTGATGCTACGGCATGCTACGGTGTGAAGATGTTGAAGTAACTTCAAATGGGGGGGTGGGGGGGGGGGGGGGGGTGGGCTAATAACGTTCATGTCGGCTGCCGGAAGGATGTGATGCTACGGCGTGCTACGTCGTTCAGATGTTGAAGTAACTTCAAATGGGGTGGGGTGGGGGGGGGATGGGGTGGGCTAATAACGTTCATGTCGGCGGCCGGAAGGATGTGATGCTACGGCATGCTACGGTGTGAAAGATGTTGAAGTAACTTCAGGGACGCTCTGGATGCTACGTTGTGAAGATGTTGAAGTAACTTCAGGGACGCTCTGGATGCTACGTTGTGAAGATGTTGAAGTAACTTCAGGGACGCTCTGGATGCTACGGTGTGAAGATGTTGAAGTAACTTCAGGGACGCTCTGGATGCTACGTTGTGAAGATGTTGAAGTAACTTCAGGGACGCTCTGGATGCTACGTTGTGAAGATGTTGAAGTAACTTCAGGGACGCTCTGGATGCTACGTTGTGAAGATGTTGAAGTAACTTCAGGGACAAAATTGGACTTGGCTTGGATTTACTGCAGGAACTTGGAAAACTCATGAAATGTGAAGATCGATCAACAGGGAGGAATTTACTGAGGAACTCTCATGAAATCGATCAACAAGAAGATCGCATACTGGAAGTGAGCAGACCGCAGATGTAAAAAAGCTTCGAATGTGTTTCGGGAATATGTTTTCGAAATCCATTTTTTCCAAAAATCGCGTTTTCGCTACAGCGAAAACGACACGAAGTTAATTTTGAGGCGCGCCTCCAATGTTTTTGAACCATTTTTTAACATCGATCGAGCAAGGTTCATGAATAAAGTCCTGCGTTTTACAGGGAATTGTGCTTTGAACCTCTAAAACGACCTCTGAAAAACATGAAAGAGCGCGGTCGCTCCACAGGCGCCGCCACCATGTTTATGGCACAGAGCCTGTGTCCAGGGATCAGCAGTTCCACTGCTGGTCACTGAACCTCCCAACTTCCCACACCTCGTCTTCCACGCAGTTCTGCACAGCTCTCAGGCCATCCTTGATGGCGTCCTGAAATGTCAAGGAAAATGTGGCAGTTTGTGCTTCGGATTGTCGAACAGAACCAGGGCTTGTGGCAAGCACAGGACCCCGCGGTAAGAACTGGGTGTAAGCCGTAAGCCATGGTCGAGCCATGGTCGATAAACAGCACCGCATCCAACCTCCCGAAAGAGTCCGGAAGAGTCAGTCCTTCATCTGTGCAATGGCATGGTCTGTAGAGCCCTGGATGAGGACAGTGCAGCTCTGAGGGTGCTTCACCTCGAATGGCCATTTGTGTCACGAAGCTACCCGAAGCGACCTGAGGGCCCCCATTGGCACCAACTGAGGGCATCACCCCTTCGATGAAGGTGAACTTATCATCCTGAGATTGCAGGTAGATGCAAATTGCTGAGCAAATAATGTACAAACATGGTCACATGTGTAAGATTATGTCCCTTCGCTGTAGCTCTTACTCAGCAAATGATATGTTCCCCAGAAATCCTCTGACAAATCTACTGAAAACCCCTGTTAAATGAAAAATCATGTGTGGGCTGTCGTCTCTCCAGGCACGTCACATGGGAATTGGCCCCACCTCCAGGCTTTGTTCATAGACCAAGTCTGCATGGCCTCGGCACAATTGGATGATGATGTTGGATGTTTGGGATCTAGAAAGAATGACGCCCACTGTTGGCACCTATGATCACCTATGGAATGCCTATGGAATGCCAAACATGTTTTCTTGTCCTGTTTCTGCCAAACTCTGAAAACGTCAATGTCAAAACATGTCAAAACAGCATCACTGACACTATCCACCTATCCACAGCAAGAGCACATGTCCTAAAGTATCCTAAAGTGCTAAAGAAGCCAGCCTAGCCAGCCTGGCCCCAAAGTCATCACTGGAATGCACAGCTTCTTTCAGATTCTGACCGAGGTCATCCACGTCCAGATCGTCAACAGAGTTGACTGCAATGCCACCAACAGCCAAAGGCAAGCGCCTAAGGAAAAGTTCTAAGCAAAGCCAAACCATCCGTCAGTCATCCAGCTTACCCTCTGGTAATGACTAACATAGCTATTGAAAATGGCCCAGTCGAAATAGTGGATTTTCTCATTAAAAATGGTGATGTTCCATAGCTATGTTAGTTTACCAGAGGGTAATATTCTTCCATTGCCCCTCCAAAATCACCTTGTTTCCAGAGCTCTCGAGCTGATGGCAGCGTAGTCAGCTCAGTCCCAGGCTCCATGTTGCGGCGCTTGGCCCGGCGTAAGGCGATGATGCCCTGGAAAAGCACATGCCAGGAGGAAATTTATTGATGTAGATATGGCCGCCATGTGGCCACCAAACTGGACAAGTTGGCTCATAGACATATCATAGACATATCCATATGATCATATATGATCCCTGCCTCGTGCGCCAACATTTCCAAAGATGGTGGGTCGATACCTTTCTGATTGATCAGCACAAAGGATTTCTTGTTTTCCTGGAAGTGGACCCGGTCGTCTTTCCAGAAACAGGAATTCAAGCTCTGGGGAACCAGAGATGCCTTGATCCAAAAAAAAAATAGCTCTGTTCAGTTCACCATCAATACCCTCTGGTAAACTAACATAGCTATGGAACATCACCATTTTTAATGGGAAAATCCACTATTTCGACTGGGCCATTTTCAATAGCTATGTTAGTCATTACCAGAGGGTAACCTTCGAAGCAAACAACCAGTTGCGGACTGGATCTGAAAGGACTTCCTGGGTGATCCATTGATCTTCCGATCGTTGAGAGAAACCGAAACCAATCGCTGCTGGGGAAAGCCCCTCTGCCCGGCCCCGCTCAACTTGACCCCTCTCCTCTGTGCAGACCCTCTTCTTCAGCTCCTTGTTGGCTCATCGCTTAGTTCACTGGATTGGTTTAAGGGAAAATCTACAGGAAACCATGGTTTTTACCATCAAATATAGGGTTTTCCTGTAAATTTTCCCATCATCCAATTCTATGATTAGTGTGATGCCAAGACATCAAAACATGGTGCGAAGTTCCCACATGGCCCGCATCTCTCAGTGCTCAAAAATGCTCAAGTGACATTATCTGGGCATAGGCAGCTTTGAAGATGCATGAGTACATGACTGTGGGTTCCAATGCAAATGTGAATATGTATGTGTATGTATATATTATATGTACAGTAGAGACATGTGTATATATATATTATACAAAGACGTATCAAACGCAAAGCAAAAGAACAACTATCCTGCTGAGCAACAGGTGTCTTGCATAAAATGGTACTTGTTTGGAGCAGATGGACGTGCTTGCAGAGTTCTGATAAACAAGAGTCATGTTAGCACCCTTGGACTTCAGTCTCAGGGTATGTTGCTGAGAAAGGCACAATGATCTTCTTCACCTTCTCATCAGTAAACTTCCGCTCGGAACTGCAGCGGCATTGGAAATGTGTGTAATTATGGCTTTAAGTTTGACCGTGGACATTTACCCAGACACGGGTTTACTCTTGCTCTAAGCAAAATGGAAAAGGTTTACTCTGGCACCGCCATTTCAGTTTTTTGGCATTTGGAACAGCACAACAAAAGCATAGCGAATTCGTGAGTTCGGTACTCAACCAGTTTCTCCCTCTGCTCTGCACTGCTGTAGAAGAAGCCAGCATTCACCTGTGGCAGTAAGCCACGAAAAAAAACATTACCTGGGAAGGTCGACAGGTTTAAAGGGCACAAGTCTATACGACAGCACGAATAAAACATACATCTCAAGTAACTCCACTGCTGGTTGGACATCAAAATCTGATAAAATCTGTATGATTCTTTTTTTGTGCCACCAAAAAGCATACCCACGGCATTCCAAGGCGAAAAAAGGTCGGATGCTGATCATCCAAAGAGTTTCTGCTGATCATCCAACTCAAAAGCATCCGTGGTCTCCGTGGTCTCCGTCCTCACTCTTCTCATACTCCAACGAGACGTTGGCAGTGAGAATGTAGCCTCGGGATTTCACAAACTAACCCCGTGGGAACAAGGTGCACATATTGAGAAAGTTCCAGTTTATATGTATGTATAATTATATATATATGATATATACATGTATATTTGTTTAGATTCTAGATCGTCTAGAGTATCTGTATTCGTATGTACATAGCTATATACATGTGTCATATTGTCATATATATATATATTACTACATATATATATATATATATTACATATGGATATATATATATGTATAATTATATGTACATATATATATATACACATCTATGATATATGATATATACATATATATAAATATATATGATATATATATATACATATATGATATTCTATATGTATCTATTAGTTGGTAGTGTACAATCACTTCTGATCTTTTGCTGCAAATGTCCACTTTGCATCAGTGTGAAGACTCCTTCCAGTTCCTCAACTCACTACAAGTATGAATCTAGAATCTAGCTTGATCTTGTCTTTGTCTCGTGAAATTCACTCAGATCTGAGTCTGTCTGTTCTTCTTCTAAGCATCGCACAGTTCTCCAATCGCTTGGGCATATCCTGAGCAGAGTTCCTAGCTCCACCAGGCGCAAGGCGGAAAAAAACAGCCAAACTGCAGGCCCGAGGCCCCAGCAGGATGTCTGGCTCCATGGTCAAGAACAAGGCCCTTGATAAGGCGGGTGTCTGTCACCAGCTTGTTCCTGGTGGAAGTTGCAGTTCTTTCATGGTGGAGTGTGTAGCCAGTTTAGCCGCTTGGCGCAACCGTTGCTCCCACTTTCTAAGCAATTCGACTATGAGGTCATTGATTGTCTGCGCCAAACAAGCTATAGCAGCTACACATGTCTCCAGCATATGACCCTCTGCCCAAACGGCGTACTTCATGTGCAGAATCTCAACCATGTTGAGGTCAAGAGGTTGGTCATCCTTTTTGATGGTACGGACCTCTCCAGGTATTTGCCGCGGACAAGGCAAAAAGGAAAATGTCAATGATGAGATGAGAGGAGAATACGGAATTAGATTTGGACACCAATCACAAAGTGTACGTTCACCTGGTCGCTTCAAATAACAGCCTTTATTTCCATTTATTTCCTATGTTTGTACAAACACACCATGACTGAGAAGCTGTCTCAGAGACTCAGTCAGCAACAAATCTCATCATGGGCTCCGGACGGCATCCACCACAACTTCCGCCATAGGATCTGCCAAGTTTGGGGCAATCTTCGTCCTCAAAGCATCCAGATCATCCAGACACTTTGGACCATGCAAAGGTCACAAAGGTCCAACAGTTCACAGCACTGTTTTTTTTGCAACTCTTCTACTTGGCAGGGCTGGAAAATGCTGTTTTTTGTTTGGTTCATGAGCTTTTCAGGTCTAAATTTGCGAGGCCTGGAGAGGTCCATCACCCCGGATGAAGCCCCAAGACCCCAAGGCCCTCGGTCCTCAGGGAAGTTCTGGCCACACACACCAACTTCTCGCGCTCTTTTAGCGGATCATCGATGTGGATCTGCGGAGGGTTCAACGATGAAAAACTGTGGGCAAATCGACAGCAAGCGACTTAGGATTTCTATGGATTTCTATGGATTTGTGACATTCACAAGGTTGGGAATTGTAGTTTCAGGGACCCATGGAAGCCGGGTTTCCCTCCCTGATGGCAATGTGCATCCAAGGTCTAATAGTATAATCGGGTGAACGCTTCAAGTCGAAAGTATTGGTTTGAATGTCAAGTCCAAAACAGGAAGAAAGACCATAACGACAGTGCTGACCCTATTCCCTCTACATTGTACATGATCTTTTGCATTTGTGGTCCTGGTATGTCTTGGTGAGATAGATACCTGAACAGCTGACAATGTCTCCAGAGCCTTGAAGGTATCCAGAAATTTGACCGTCTCCTCTCGGGCGATTTCAAAGCCCTGCCAGGGTGGCTCCAATTGCCAGAGTTCAATGCTGGGAACGCAGCTGGCAGTGTCTGGTAGCAGGATATGCCCATGCCATGCCTCCGCAATGAGTCGAGGATGGAGGCCTTCTGCCAAGCTCTGCTCTGCCAACTTCATGAGCTCTCCAATAAACATCACACTGGTTGCGTGGCATCAACGCTTTGCTGGTAAGGAGTGGGGAAGGAATGGAAAACCCCAACTTCCCTGACATGGAAATGGAAAACCCCATTCTCAATCCGATTTTTGCGCATAGCAATTCTTGTTGACTCCTGCTCTTGCCCTGCCACCTTGCATTCAAAGCTTTGTCTTCGCTTCAATTCCAAAATATCCCATAAAAATCCCATAAACAAATTCTCATAGTTTGATCTTATCGCAAGTTACCATCCTTACCGAGCATCCCAGCCTGGATGTTGTCCCATCACCGGTGAACTCATCCTGAAGCTCACAAGACTCGTAGACGCTCGGAGAGGGGAATACTGTGGCACTTCATCTGTGTGCTACCTCACTACAGGACACGGAGGTCTCTTCCAAACTTATGTGTGAAATATGATGCCTATATAGCCTTTATGTGCCCATTAAAAAGTTCTTCATTCGATGAGAGTCAGCAACTGTGTTTTCAACATGCACTTGTCATGCCTTTTTTTTTAAATCCATATTCTTGTTGCAAAATTCCAGACCTCTCAACTTCAATACCCTCTGGTAATTTAACATAGCTATTGAAAATCACCATTTTTAATGGGAAAATCCACTATAAATGGATATTTTCAATAGCTACGTTAAATTACTCGAGGGTACATGGAAAGTCAACCCCTGGTGTCCCTGGTCAACCCCTGGTGTGTCCCTGGCCTGAGCACTGGCTGCTCGTGCAATCATGGAAGCTGTCGGATGCTGGATCTGCATCTCACTGAGCAAAACTGATCCATCCTCGCCACGTCGAACCAATGGATTCACCGCTTTTCTTAACGAAGCTACCTTGGAATGAAAAGATTCCTTGCTAGATTGAATAACATTATATAACCATAGTTATAATGAATCTTATCCATTGGATCAACATGGATAAACCATAGTCATCGGCTTTGCAGCTGTTTCAAAAAAGTGCTGGCTGCAGAGTTCTGCAATGATTCATTCCTTCAATGTCCTTGGTGATCTTGATTTGCCCAGCACCACCGACCAGCATCTTTAGCGTTCCTCTCGTGGATGTAGGATCATTGTGAATCTGATGCACCTTGCTATGGGAAGCCTCACTAAAACATTTGAATACCCTCTGGTAATTTAACATAACTATGGAAAATCACCATTTTTAATGGGAAAATCACCTATAAATGGCCATTTTCAATAGCTATGTTAAATTACCAGAGGGTAAAATATACCATTTCTCAACCGCAAGGGTGCGAAAGGAAGAAAATGAGACTTTT